TATTGTTATTATTATTATTATTATTATTGTTGTTGTTGTTGTTGTTGATTATTATTATTATTGCTATTATTGTTACTGAAACGTTATTGTCGGGAAAAAAAATCAATTAGTCGCGTGTGGGCAAAGGGAATTGAAATTCGTGGCTAAATCCGTGGAATATTAGACACGAATTTAGCCACGAATTTTAAAAAGGGCTAGTAGAATTGCAATTCGTGGCAAATTAGCCACAGATTTAGCCACAAATTTCAAAAAAAAAATGAATTAGGCGTGTGTGGGCTAGTAGAAATGAAATTCGTGGCTAAATCCGTGGCAAATTAGCCACGAATTTGAAAAAGGGCTAGTAGAAATGAAATTCGTGGCTAAATCCGTGGCAAATTAGCCACGAATTTAGCTTTGCCACGGATTTAGCCACGAATTTGAAAAAGGGCTAGTAGAATTGAAATTCGTGGCAAATTAGCCACGGATTTAGCCACGAATTTGAAAAAGGGCTAGTAGAATTGAAATTCGTGGCTAAATCCGTGGCAAATTAGCCACGAATTTGAAAAAAAATGAATTAGGCGTGTGTGGGCTAGTAGAATTGAAATTCGTGGCTAAATCCGTGGCAAATTTGCCATGGATTTAGCCATGAATTTGGAAAAAAATGAATTAGGCATGTGTGGGCTAGTATAATTAAAATTCGTGGCTAAATTCGTGGTAATAGCCACGAATTTGAAAAAAAAATGAATTAGGTGTCTATGGGCTAGTAGAAATGAAATTCGTGGCTAAATCAATTAGCCACGAATTTGAAAAAAAAATGAATTAGGCGTGTGTCGGTTAGTAGAATTGAAATTCGTGGCTAATTAGCCACGGATTTAGCCACGAATTTGAAAAAAAAATGAATTAGGCGTGTGTCGGCTAGTAGAAATGAAATTCGTGGCTAAATTCGTGGCAAATTTGAAAAAGGGCTAGTAGAATTGAAATTCGTGGCTAAATCCGTGGCAAATTAGCCACGGATTTAGCCATAAATTTGAAAAAAAAATGAATTAAGCGTGTGTGGGCAAGTAAAATTGAAATTCGTGGCTAAATCCGTGGCAAATTAGCCACGGATTTAGCAACGAATTTGAAAAAAAAATGAGTTAGGCGTGTGTGGGCTAGTAGAAATGAAATTCGTGGCTAAATTCGTGGCAAATTAGCCATGGATTTAGCCACGAATTTTAAAAAGGGCTAGTAGAATTGAAATTTGTGGCTAAATCCGTGGCAAATTAGCCACAGATTTAGCCACGAATTTGAAAAAAATGAATTAGGCGTGTATAGGCTAGTAGAATTGAAATTCGTGGCTAAATCCGTGGCAAATTTGTCACGGATTTAGCAACGTAAAAAATATTAGGGTTTGCTGCGACAATTTTATAATTCGATTCGAATTTGCCGCGACAAAATTAAAATTCGTGGCTAATATCGTGGCAAATTAGCCACGGATTAAAATTCGTGGCTAATGTGCGACGGAATTAGCCATGAATTTGAATCCGTGGCTAATTTGCCACGATATTAGCCACGAATTTGGATCTGTGGCTAATTTCGGCGGAAATTAGCAAAACGGCGTCATCTTCATTTGCGGGTAGAACTAGTATTAGGCTTTCTTCTCTGTCTCGATCACTCAATTTAGGGTTTTCTCTTCCTCTTCTCCCTCTTTTTTGTCTCTATCTCTGTCTCTGTCTCTCGATCGAATGATTCTCGGCGACCTTCGGATTCGGATTCGGCGTTCTTCGGCGCAATTCTCGGCGTTCTTCGGCGGCGGACACTGGGAAGCGCGAGGACACCCAGCGCGAGGATCGTCGTCCGAGAGTTTTAGAGGGACGTTCTCTAAATTTTTTTGTGGACGTTTGCTTTTGTTTCTGCTTTTGCTTCTGTTGTTTGTGTTGGGTCTGCTGCTTTTGCTTCTGTTGGATGAATTAGCTTGGGTCTGCTGCTTTTGCTTCCGTTGGACGTTGGGCGAAACAGAATGGGTCTGCTGCTTTTGCTTAAGTATTGTTCTGTTCGTGGTAACTGGAATTAGCTTTCAATTTGCGGCGAATTTGATTCGACTTATCTCGGGTTGACTGTTAGCCGTAATTGGAATTTCCGGCGAATTTATTCTGTTCGCCAAGTGAAAACGGGCTGAAATTTGGTCGGATTTAGGTTGAAATTTGGTCAGAATGAGCTGAAATTTGGTCGGATTTGGGTTGAAATTTGGTTGAAATTTGGTCGGAATGAGGTGAAATTTGGTCGGAATGACTCAAATTTGGTCGGTCAAGTGGAAACGGCCCGCTGATAAAAAATCACCGCTTTTCGCCGTGACGCAAGTCATTTTTTGGCGTTTTGGAGTCGTTTACATAAGTTTTTGAGCAAAAAACCATTCTGTTTGAACAGTGATTTCAGTTCGGTTTGAGTTTTTTTTGGCGTTTCGGAGTCGTTTCATTATTTTTTTATTTATAGCTAGGTTTGAATATTGAAACCAATAAAAAATAGGCTATAGTGTGATGACGAATGTCATGTAGGATTATAATGTGATGACGAATGTCATGTAGGTTTGTTGTTGTCATTTTTTGCTCCTGCTGTAACCTCGATGATGCTGTTTTGGTTCCAAAAAATTTTATGCTTCATAAAATGGACTCTATGCTAGGTTTCCTTGATGGTGGATTCGTAGAATTGCTTCATTCATTGCATGGGATTTTGCCCTGGTACAAGGCAAAATTAACCTAGTAAGTCATGAGGCTTTCTTTCCTGTGGTTGTTGAATCATCTGTACTATTCTGCGAGAAATTTTTCAATCTGTTTGTGTGGTCCATCATCTAAGACTATGTAATTCATTTAAGACTATGTACTGGGTGGCCCATCATCTGTTTGTGAGAAATTTATTTGTGTGGTAATCTGTTAATTTTTCATACTAGGTTAATTTTTCAATTTGTTTGTGTTCCAAAAATCTGTTTGCGAGAAATTAATCATCTGTACAAGGCAAAATTAACCTAGTAATTCATTTAAGACTATGTACTGGGTGGCCCATCATCTAAGGGAGGTGGCAAGCTGTTTGTGTTTGCCTTTTCCTCGTGATTTTTCAATCTTTCGCCCTCATCAACTGTCCTTTGACCATAATTGCTTGATGCAGCTGAATGAAGAACATAGGGATATGTTGGTATAAGAGTTAATAGTATTAGCTTGAATAGTTCATACTGAACCATTTAATGAATTTTTAACAAAGAAAAAAGTATATTCCTGCAGCACCATCCTCCCACCATCCTCCCTTTATAAGGCCGTGCAAACATGGAGTTATTTTACCAAGTTGAAAAGATCATTCATGTGGAAACTAATGGGATTTGTAAACCAAAATCTCAAAGTGGAAGGCCAGTTGCCCCAGTAATTTCAAACTTCCGTGAAACTTTTCTATTCACTGAGAAGTAGCTGCAGCCATTTAGCTTTGACTGAAAGCGAGTATTCTTGTGCATGACCTCAACATGTTCACTAACTTGTGATTACAATTGCATACCCAAGACTGACCAAACCAGCCTTGTTTACGGAGAGATTACCGACTACCATCTCCCTTACCCATTGTTGCCATGTCCTTGGCTTTGTTAGCTTGATATTAAATTGTATTTTTGGACTATATGGACAAGTTCTTCAAGTCATAGACTATAGGCTTGATCTTGAGTCAAACAAACACCTTTCTCGAATTTGGTTGTGGGTTGAATTTTTTGAGCTTGGGTAATTTTTTTTTTCAATTTGATGATGGTAGTTGCAATGAGTGCCTCTTTTTATACACATGAGACAGGATGTTGAATTTGGCAATTGAATTAGGAGAATCAAAATGAATGCATGGTCCAGAGTGTAAGTGTTAGTGTTAGTTTTTTGGTATGCAAGCTAGAGATTATTGCAAGAATATCTTTTGATATATGTTCTTCCATCTGTCAGGACATTGGATTCAGTGTGGAGTGTATAAATTCTTCAGGACAAAAAACTGTGAGTTACAATATATTTTAGCATCTGCCAGCTACATGCTCAACTCTAAATTATCTAGATTCTTGTTTTTTTTGGGACCTTTCCGTAAGCCTACATGCTCACTCATGTTTTCTTCTATAATAATCACCAGAAAAGAGATAATATTTAAGTGCTTGTTGAATGTTTTTGTAGACAGTTACCACAACTGTTATTTGTGGCAAAATACGAGCTAAAGAATTAAGCTCGTAGACATTTCCGGACAGCTTGCTTTTTATCAGGGGCGATAGCAAGTTTGTTTCATTTTCTCAAGTTTATCTCTTGCTCTCAAAAACAAAATGGTAAGCTTCACGACTTATGTCATTATGTGTCCATAATACATGTTCATATTTTTTAACATATTTGTCTAACCTTCCAACTTGTTAGTATAAACGTGGAGGTCACATGCGTCATGGTGTAGCTTCACAAAGAAGACCAGGCCCTTCCCCTTCCTCGTCCTCGTCCTCGTCCCTTTCCTCTTCCCCTGCCCTTTCATCTAACCCTCAACCAGTACATGCTGATGGATACATTGGCCCTTCCTCCGACCCTCAAATGCGAACTGAATCTACTTCAGTTCCATCGCCTTCGGTTCCACCTTCTTCTTCAATGCAACACTCGAATGATGAAGAAGATAGCCGATTCATGATATGCCCATTTGGAGATTCGTAAGTACTTTATTTTTTTAAGTATATGCAAATTATTATGAATGTCAACTGAATTGTCCATATGCTTCACGGATGCTACGTATGTTGACATCGTTATAACCTATTTGCAGATTCACGGATGCTACGTATGTTGTGAGGAAACTTAATAAAATAATCAATAACTGTTGGATGGGGCAGTATAGTAGTTTGACCACTGCTCCAAAAGAAGTAAAGGAATTGTGGTGGAATAAGTTCAAGGTAAGTTTTGTCCTTCTATTTTCTCACAAACTAAGTTCGGTTTAGCATATTGAGTGTACAATTGTTTTTCTATTGATTGCTTGCATCGGAAGTTCAGGTGGGATCAAGCGGAAGAGAAAGAAGTTAGAAGAATTTTTAAGAAGAAAGCCGGTGATCACATGCGAAATGTGATGAATAGAGCAAAGAGAAGTCAAGAAAAATCGGATTTTATTGCAGCTGACAATTGGACGGAAATTAAGAGAACTTGGGACACCGAAAAGCATAAGCAAATCAGTGAAATAAATAAGAAGAATCGAGCTTCTAGTTCTAGTGAAGGGTCTGCCACATATGCTGGGGGCTCTATCAACATCGGGGAGCATAGAAAAAGAATGGTAAGTCTGTTAAACATGTTGTAAGTTAATTCAATGATTACTCATTTATGTTTATATTTTGTAGGTAGATGAATTGGGGACGGAACCGACATTTATAGCTACATTTGAATGCACATTTCAGAAAAAAGATAAGACATGGACTGGCAATCGAGCAAAAGCTATTAAGGTATGTAAGGTTATATTTTGTAGTTATATTAATGAAGTTTTTTTATTTTTATCTATATTGTTAATGTAGGACAAATATGATGAACTTGTAACGAGCACTGCTGCTAGTGGTGGTGATGATGATGGTGTTGTTGCGTCCGAGCCATCGGTTAACAGTATGGCATTATGGGTGGAGGCATCGGGTGGAATGAGAAGAGGTCAAATATTTGGGATGGGATCCTTGTCAAGGATATACACAACGCCGGCTGCTGCAACTTCATCCTCTAATGCGGCTTTTTTAAGGAGGACACAACACGAGGAGCAAATGACCCAAGAATTGAACCAACCGAAACATTTACTTGTATAGAAGGACGAAGAAATAAGAGGAGTGAAACAACATTTGCAATTGATCATGCGACACCTCAACCTCGATCACGATGACGTTCTTCCTATACCTCCCACTAATCCAGTAGGTGATGGGCATAATGATGGGCGACACAATGATAATGAGATTGCTGATGATGATCCTTGCTAGTTAAAATTTCCAAACTCGAGGGAAAGCTTGCTTCAGCATTATCTATTTATTTATAGGACAAGTTATTAGTTATTGCATTTGTTTAATGCACATGTATCGATTCTGTTAAAAGTTCAACAACTGTTATAAGCTCAACAACTGTTTTTGCACATGTACGCGAGAGACAATGGACTAATCAAGCTAATGCTCGGCTATCTCTCTCCCTTGTTCACGCACGCACGTGCATTCTAGGAACAGAGTTGTTGGGATCTGAATTACTTGGCACTGATTCTTTGAAGAATCTTTGGAATGATTATGATGCCATATTGTGTTGTTATCTGTTATTTGTATTACTCGAAATTGTTAAAAGTGAATTTTGCCATGTATGTAATTAGGAATGATTAATGATGGTCTTCCTTTTGGTTTGGCAGTCTATTCCAGTTTTCGTCTTTGCAAACTAGGCAGGACTTGACATATTAGAGAACACTTTTGGTGGCTTTACAAGATCTCACTTTGGATTAGATTTTTGACGAGTCAGTTCGCAGAGAATTGTGCCCTGGGTTCACTAAGTTAATGCAAGAGGTACTTCTATCATTCTTTATGCTACATGACAATAAGCGTTCGGTTTGCATACATGCCCTCTGGAATTGGTCTTTTGTGTGAGCATAGCCTAATATATTCTTTTTTGAACACCCCTCTTTCTGCTGTTGAATAGATGTGAAAAAATTAAGAGGGGTTAGGAGTTTGATATTGTGATGTTTGCGCTGCAGATGGACAGGACTTCGATTCTTGGAGACACTATAGACTACGTGACTACGTGACTACATGAAAGAACTTCTTGGCAAGATCAACAGTTTGCAACAAGAGAGCGAACTGGATTTGAAGCAGTTGAATTTGTTGGATCCTCTCAAGGATTTTTCATACAAATTTAGTGCTTTGTTCCATTTCTTTCTTTTTTGTGTTTGTTCTTGTCTTGACTGTGATTCTATCAATGTTAAATATAAATTCTATAATTACTGTTAATTAGATTTCAAATCGAAATCGTCCCTAAACAACATTCGTCGCAGACTTCGTCGCTAAATTATTCATTAAAATTCGTCGTCAAATTCATTTCGGAACAATGTTCGTGGCAAAAGTCAAAATTTTTCGTGGCAAATTAGTGACGAATTTTGCCACGAATAAGTTTGTCACAAAATACTGACCAAAAAAAAAACTTGGTGGCAAATTAGCCACGAATTTTGCCACGAAATGTGTTCGTGGCAAATTACCCACGAATAAGTTCGCCGCAAAATACTGACAAAAAAAATTTGGTGTCAAATTAGCCACGAATTTTGCCACGAAATGTGTTCGTTGCAAATTAGCGATAAATTTTGCCACGAATAATTAGCAATGATTTTTGCCACGAAAAGATTTCGTCGCAATTTCGCGACCAACAAAAAAAAAATTTGAAAAAAATAGCGACGAATTTTGCCACGAATACAGTTCGTGGCAAATTAGCGACGAATTTTGCCACGAATATTTAGCGACAAATTTTACCACGAATAATTAGCAACGAATTTTGCCACGAATACAGTTCGTGGCAAATTAGCGACGAATTTTGCCACAAATAATTAGCGACGAATTTTGAGACGAATTAGCCACGAATTTTGCCACGAATAATTAGCGATGAATTTTGCAACGAAATTTTTTTCGTCGCAAATTAGCGACAAAAATTGAAATTTTCCGTCGCAAAATTTTGCGACGGCCTATTAGCGACGAATTTTTTTCCGTCGCTAATTTCGTCGCAAATTCGTTTAGCGACGAATTTTGCCAAATTTTTCGTGGCAAAATTTGTCGCTAAAACCAACTTTTTTTGTAGTGTCTTTCCAGTGATACTAATTTCATTAAAATCGGAATTCATTTGGATTTTCAAAAGGAATTTTTATGATCTAATCAGTATCTGTGTTCAGATCTGATTTTCATTCATTTGGAATCCAAAAGATGTTTCTCCGAATTTGATAAAGTTAGAGTCCTCCTTTGCAAAAAATCAAAATTATAAAATTGTTCCTTGGGGTCTCATTATACAGACTGGAAATTTTGAGGGCCTAATAACAATTTTTAGGGGGTTGATTTGCTAAAAACCTCAGATAAGGCCTTCTCGGGTTAAAATTCGATTTGCAGTTGAGTCCTTTGTGAAAACCGAATTTTATAAAAATTTGGAGGACTTTTTTAGCAAAAACTCAAAACATGAAAGTTGTAACACGCAGAGAGTCCTAGCTGTCTAAAAATTTTCACATGGTTTTGATAAGGTTTGTTATTTTTCCCGCCATTATTTTGAAATCCCTAACAGAACCGGGTCCAATCTGTCACCGAGAGTAAAATTGTCTGTTTCGTGAAAATCGGTAGGGATTTAGAAAAAATAGTAATCTTAAATTTTGATCCTCATGACATAAGCTTTCTAATGACACCTGAATCACTTCATTTGGACATCATTAGGTTAGTTAATCACATCTGAACAGAAGTGATCCGAATTAGATAATAATAAGTGGTCTTCTTATGATGCCCACTTCCCATTGCTTGATTGGTTGAGAAATAAGGCCCATGGGCTTGAATGCATGTTTTACTCATTGCTATGCATGTGTTTGTTAGATGGATGTTAAGCCCGGTGCATGTTCGGTGGGTAGCCCATTATGGTCATTTAGAACCCGACTTTAGGGGTTAATTGATATGAGTTGCCGTTTTATGAATGCAAATGGTAGCCCATTATCATTAACCATTAATCAAATAATGCTAGATGATTAGGTGGGTGGTGAATCGAAATACATGAAAAACAAAGGCCGACCCGAGGCCAGTGCTTGATTAGTGAATTGTTTGCACCATTGCTTTTCTTTGGTTATTCCTTTGTATATTGTTTGTCGTGAATGTAAACGCCGACACCCGAGAGGCGGTCCATGGGGGGATAATCCAAAATTGTAAAAGACTAAGGCAATAGACTGATGTCCAATCTGGTCTCAATTTGTATTCACTTGACGGTGGCGATAGACCGATGTCCGATCCGGTTTCAATTTGTATTCAATTCATTCGTCCCCTATCATGTCTCGGGTTTTCAATTTGTGTTGTAATAAACACCTGACGAGTTACGGGTTTTACTTTCTCGCACTTAAAATTAGCTCGTCTTTTCAATACTTTGAGTGTTTACTTTACGAAATGTCTTTCAATACAATTGATTGTTTCTTTCTTTTTCTAGACTAAGATAGGATTAGTTTAGAATCTTAAATGAAAATACAAAAACAAGATGCATGATCACTTAGTGGACTAAGACTTTAACATGAAAATGGTAAAAAATAAATGCATGACAACTTAGATAACAACCATGATAAGTTTAGCGGTACCGAAAGGGCGTTAGTAAAAATATTAACGTAAGCTAGTCCCCAAACTCATGATCTCTGGTTTTTCGTAGAAGCCGAAACGAACTCCCGCGTTTCAGTTGGGTATTCTAGCCGACCCCCGACCTAGGCTAGTGGCGACTCCTAAAAAAGATAAAATCGATCCGCTGTCACGCGAGGTATGGATTTAGGAAAAATCCACGTTCATGATCAATGGACCATATGGATGACCAAAAGATCGATGCTTCGGTAAGCCGTCTTTTATGATGTGCCAAACGGACCGTATGGATGACTAAAAAATTGACGCTTTGGTAAGCCGTCTTTTATGATGTGCCATGCGGACCGTATGGATGACTAAAAGGTCGATGTTTCGGTAAAACTATCTTTTATGATGTGCCATATGAACCGTTTCATGAACACTTACCTCTAAACCCGCCTTATCGAGTTTGGCCCTCGAGAGGTAGGTCGTGACAGGCTTGGCGACTCCGCTGGGGACTAGGTTACAAATCTAAGTGGATTAAAGCCGTAATAAACTTGTTGGTTGTTATCTCACTTTGTAGCATCGACTGCATGTCAAAGTCGCGTGGAAAATGAGGTTAGTCGCTAATCAAGTGTTAAATGTTTTTGTAGGTGGGAGTTATAAGGGGAGGCGTGTGTGTCAACCCTTTGTTTTGCAGGTGGTGAAAGGATGTATGCGTGTATGTTGGATTATATTGAAGTGCTGGATGTTTAAATTCAAATGCATGTTTACATGCTTTAGCACGACACAATGCACCCACATCCTGCGGTCTAAAACCCCGGATCGCTTTTAGGGCACCTTTAGGAGGTATTAAGAGTGGAATCCGCATGTGAATGCATGTGGTAATCCATTCTTCAATACCGCTCATCTTGGTTAGTAAGAAGTGCACCGACCGACGTTAGTAGCGGTGGGTAAACTCTTCTTATCTAATCAAGGTGGGACCTTGAACTTTTAGAATCCTACCTTTAGGCGTCAAACCTCACGTACTCATGCGATGTGTCGATGTGTTTGCCATTCTTTTCACGGTAAGGTTGATTGTATCGTTTTAATTGTAATTTCACTTACGTCATTTCATGTTATATTACTTTCTATAACACGTGGTGATTAATCTCGATGCTCCAAATTAGGGTTAGTCAAAATGGATATGTCAGAGATTCAAATCATCCCCGTACCTAGAGCTCTCGTGACCATGTGGGAAAGTCTCGAGTCAAAGCACAAGGACTACGTGGAAAAGAGGATAGGATATCTTCCCGCACTTTTATACATCGAGCCTCGTGTTGCTATGATCAAAGCATTGTCCCATTTTTTAAACTCAAAGACATCCACTTTTGTGTTTGGTCGAAATGAATTGACCCCTACAATTGAGGAGTACAATATTGCCATTGGAAGAGTCGGGTCTTTTGGTCTAGTTAGTCCTCCGATAGATATAGATCCTATAACTCTTTTGAGCCAATTCTTAGGGGCAAAAGAACACTACAAGTGCCATAACTT